ACATCTCACAAAACACTCTAGTATTAGGAGACTTCAACGTTCATTCCACCAGATGGAGCTATAAGAATAAATACATAGTTGGAAAGGAAATCGAAGACTTGCTAAACAGCAGCCCTCCGGAACTTATTTACAGCAATGAGGAACCGGCTACATATTTGCACTACAATGGAACCAGAACAACTCTTGACTTGCTTCTGGCTTCAAGCGACATCAGCGAGCATACACGACGCAAATAATTGACGATCCTGGTTCTGGTCACAAACCAGTCATTGCTAGTATTACCATCGGCAACAAAAGCATGACAAGGAAAGTGACAACTAAGCTATCATGGAACTTCAAGATTCACAAACCTTTAAGAGAATGAACTTCACATAAGTCCCCTCAACTTCAACCAACATCCTGACAAACTTTGCAACGATATCACGAATATTATGATTAGATGTGCAAAGAAAGCTATTCCCAGAGGCAAGACTAAACACTATCGAGTGTTTTGGTCTAAACGCCTTGAGGAACTGTAAAGAAAGAGGGACGCCCTTCGCAATGCTGATGATCAGACTGGAAGAACGGAAGACTTACAAGCCTGGAGACAGCAGTCAGCTGTCCCAAGGCAAGCCATCTTACAAGCTAAACGCACTTACTTCGACAAGTTCATCTCTAATATCAACTATCAAAGTGATTGCCAACCCACTTCCAAATTTTTGAGAAACCTCCAAAAAAACAGAGAAAGACCCAAGAAAGAAACAATACGCTTGAAAAACAAACTGCTTACTACCGACTCCAAAATAGCTAACTGCTTTGCTAGGTTCTGTTCCCACAAGCAAAAGAAAAATCCTTTTGCCAGAAAATCTTCAAAAGAATAAAAGATACAAATAAGACAGTTTAGTGGATAAAGGAAGACATAACAACACCAAATAATGTGCTTACTGAACCATTCAGACCTTGCAAAATTAATGCTGCGAATGTGCTTACTGAACCATTCAGACCTTGCAAAATTAATGCTGCGATAAAACAGCTAAAGTGCATTACGTCTCCTGGCGAAGACGGTATTCATCAGGAATTTTCAACAGCCAAGGAAACCATGCTGAGGTTTTTCAACAAAATCCAGGAGACCCGTCTCGTACCTAAAAAAATGTAAATTGCCATAGTAATACCAGTATAAAACAGGGCAAAGACCCTAGCATCTTTGACAACTATAGGCCTATCTCCCTCACAAGCGTGCTGTGTTAACAGGTGACTGACCTGATTCCTTGAGACCAACAATATTCTTTAGAATGAACAAGCCGGTTTTAGGCCGCAAAGATCAACGAACCAGCAAGTAGCCGTTTTCTCCCAAGACATCAAAGATGCCTTTGATGCAAGAAATACTCTTACGTCTGTTTTCGTCGATTTCAAATCAGCATATGACTTGTTATGGAAAGAGAAGCTAGTTCTAAAATTGGCAAAGATTGTTATTAATTACAACGTGCTAAACTAGATGAAAGCATTCATAGGACAAAGATCATGTAAAGTCAGATATGGAAATGCTCTATCAAAATCTAATCTTTTACAAACAGGTCTTCCACAGGGAGCTGTCACAAGCTGCACTCTTTTCAATGTCTTCATCAATGACATAGCTAATTTGTTACAGACAGTCACGGGCGTCATGCGCTTACTTTATGCAGATGATCTTGTTCTATGGTACTAAGAAAAACGCTCAGGAGACGACGGAAAGTGCTCTAAATTGTGCACTTAAACTACTAGCAAACTGGTGCGACAACAATGGAATGGTAATCAACACCGCGAAAAAATCGCTCTTAATAGTGCACTTAAACTACTAGCAAACTGGTGCGACAACATGAGTGCACTTAAACTACTAGCAAACTGGTGCGACAACAATGGAATGGTAATCAACACCGCGAAAGCCGCATTCCAAAATTTCTCTTGGGCCCGTCACAGCATAAACCCGCTTCTAAGGTACAAGGATACTACCCTAGAAGAAACCGACGAGTTCACATATCTCGGAATGACGTTTGACACAAAGCTAACGTGGATAAGTCACATTGCTACAATTGCAGATCGAGTCTTCAATTGACTGAATGTACTGAGGCGTCTTGCTGGTAGCGTATGGGGCTGTGCACGCTCAACTCTCAACCCTGTACAAGATGTTTATTCAGCCAATAATGTTGTATGTTTAACCCACTCATTACAGCCACAGAGGTGACTCTCAAACCACTCGAGAAGGCACACAACCAAACATTACGACTTATTACTGGAGGGATAAAATCCGCACTCATTGATGCAATGCTCCTAGTTACAGGAAGCACCACAATAGGTTCCCTTATCAAAGAAAAGGCTTGTATGAGAAGCTACCTCATCAAAGAAAAGGCCTTGATCCTGTATGAGAAGCTACTACGCATTCCCGGTTACATGAACTCCACAATATGTTCCCTTATCAAAGAAAAGGCCTTGATCCTGTTGTTGCCTTATCAAAGAAAAGGCCTTGATCCTGTATGAGAAGGGTCTTATCAAAGAAAAGGCCTTGATCCTGTATGGGAAGCTACCTCATCAAAGAAAAGGCCTTGATCCTGTATGAGAAGCTACTACGCATTCCCACGGGGCAAAACACCACAATAAGCTCCCTTATCAAAGAGAAGGCCTTGATCCTGTATGAGAAGGTTCTCTTATCAAAGAGATGGCCTTGATCCTGTATGAGAAGCTACATGCGCAATCCCATGGATAAGTTCTTCAGCACATATGAGAATAGACCAATATGGACAAGTTCTTCAGTACCTATGAGAATAGACCAAGACCCTGAAAATAGCACCTATGAGAATAGACCAAGACATCTGAAAACGCATGCTGGTCTAATACAGAAAGCCATAGAACTGAAGAAAGCATTCCTTTATAGACCAAGACATCTGAAAACGCAATCTGGTTTAATACACGTTACAAATCGATGACAAACAAAAAAAGCCACTCTCTCTCCATTAGCAGACACTGATGTAGTGTGTTGCACCCAACCGCTCTACTATTTTAGGAAATCAAACACCCCTCCTGAGCAAATGCGCTCATTGGCCCTTGAGACAATCAATGTCAACTATCCTGCAGATCAATGACTCCAAGTCTTCACTGATGGGTCACACATAGAAAACCAAGCAAACCTTGGTGCAGGTGTCTATTCTGAACTCTTCTCTTTCTACGCAGCAGTGGGACACAATAGATCCGCTTTTGAAGAAGAAATAGAGGCCATTAGGATTTCACTATGCCAATTATGTTGCCTGGATACGAAATTCACCAAAGCGGTGATACTTTCGGACTCACAGTCAGAAATAAACTTAATATCAAGCAAAGAGAGCCATCCAAAACAACTGATATAGAGGAATGTAGAAAACTCTATGAGCTGCTGAGAGAGAAAAACAAAACATTGGTCCTACAATGGATTCCTGGTCACTGTGACATTAAAGCTAATGAGCTTGCTGACACACCTGCTAAGAAGGGGACAACGATTTCGCAATGCATAGACCTGCCGATGTCTTTCCACACAATGAAGGCCTTAATCAGAAGAGAATTCCATATCCCAAGGTGCAACGAACTTTAAGCTCGAACAAACGCGAATAGTGGACAGTGGCAATCTCCGAAATACCCGACTGGCCAAGAATCGAAGCCGTTGTGGAGTTTAGACTACGTACTGGACACGATTGCTTTGCAAAACACCTTCACGGATTTGGAGTATACACTCAACAAACATATCCTCTATGTAACCAACGTGAGGAAATGGAGAAGACCCTCCTGATTCGGTGTCCAGCTCTAAAGACAAGGACGGAAAGCCAGAGATACTGGGAAGCAAGAAAACGGTTAATGAACTGCTATTTATTAATTGCTATAAATGTAACGCCACCCTTGGGGAAAGCTGAAGTCAAAGTTTAAGTTCTAATGATAAATATCACAAAGCCTGCCATTTGAAATAATAATAATATTAATCATTCTTAATTTCGAGATATTTCCCCAATTGGCTACTTTTTCAGAATTCCATCAGGCAACAACAAGCCAAGGTGAGTTTATACGATAAAAGACTAAATTCAGCGCACTTTTTGGTTTGATCTATTTAATTTATCAACATTTTTCTAACGATACATGAAATAAGAAATTTGTGGAACATTCTTAACATATATCAATGCTGTTTTGCAAGAGTATTACTATTATTTTACCAATAATAGCAAAATAACAATTTAAAATTTCTACTTGCAAATTTATTAAGGAATAATTAATTAATTACATTTTATATTAATGAATTTAATTTCTTGATATTGCATGAATAAACCGATTGCAATTAATAGTTACTTTACTATAGTGGGTATAAAGGTTAATAATGGCCAATTTGAAATCTTTTCAGAATTTGCTCAAGTAACAACAAGCCAGGGTGCGTTTATAAAATAAAGGACTTAATTCTGCACGTTTGGATTTGATCTATTTAATTTGTGAACATTTATCTAACGATATTTGTGCTATGTCACACTTCATATTATTTATTCTCCATATTAGGTTGCACAATTGCATATATATTCTCAAGCAAGTTATTTACTTAAGTACCTTATGCTATGTTTTATGAAACAACTTTCAAATATTAATCTGAGAAAGATTTTGCTTCATTTAGTTGCTGCTTTCATCTCTCAATGGATTTTTCAATGAAAATAGCAGAGCTGGAAATGATTTACACTTTTCAATTTTTGCGAAAAAAATTCAAACAATTAGGAAAATTAAAACATTTTAATAAATATAAATGATAATAATTTTGTTGTGAAAATTAATATTAGAAATCATATCGAATTCAAAATCTTTGCACCTTTCACAATTTCAATTTTTCGTAACTGTTTGTCACTTGCAAGTTTAATATGGGTTATTTGAATATATTTTTTGTTACTTAGTGGAAAAGAGGTCTTTTAGTGGATATAATATAAGGTTCTAATGAAATAGCAATCTGTTCACTACATGATTGAAGCTCTTTTATTATGCACAGTCATTAAAGCACAATTATTGTATACCACAAGGGAGATCGGGTTTTGCAATTACTTGCATTTATATAAAAGATTATTAAAAAGGAGCCATTAAATCAAGGCAGTTTACGATGTGCGTAACATTGCTGCTTGCAAAATGAATTGAGGATATAAAATAACTGTATGATAAATTTCTAATAAAATATTGCAGGTTTGTGTAATTAAAGGCTGACAGACAAATCATTCTTATATTTAGTTAAATTATCTCTCCTCGAATCCATAAATATTTGTCCATGAATTATCAATTTTGCCGCCATCAACACCGCTGCAAATGGTAAGTAGGGGAATATCAAAAATGCATATTGAAATTCGACGAGAGTTCTCTACTATTGTTGTTATTCAATATGCCTGTCATTATATCGGCCTAAATTGATTGATCCAAATCGTAAAAAGTCTAATGGCTTGCTTAAGAATGATTGTCAGACGTAAAACCTATCAAATAACGAGGTGATGAATAACATAAAGTTGGGCTTCCGAAGAATATCCAATCGAATCAAACAAATATCTGACAAGATTTTACTCGTAAATACGAAATGGGTAAAAATTTTTCGAACAGAAGTCCAATAACAAGCTGCATTTAAATAAGTAAAATTGACCTTGCCAATGTAAACGATGTTTTGTAGCGTACTTTAAAAATCTATTGAAATTACTATTTGTAGCAGGCAAACTCGGTAATAGGATAAATTTTAAATTTCACGACCCAAATTATAACGGTCGTTTTTTATAAAAGCGTATATTTATTCACATTATCATCAAAATATTTTATTTGCTGGCACCATAAATCAATAATAAAAAAATAAGTTATGTGCTTTTTGCCATAAAGAGATGTTTAGAAATTAATGGTGTTCTCTGAAAACTCGATGAGAAGTATTCAAGGACAAGAAAATTTTTGTGAATCTTCATTGCATGAGATTTTTTGCTTTAAAAGGCTTGATTTATTTCTAAATCACAGATTGTATAAAGAATCCCTCAAAATCATTCTCGTGTATTTGCTTCGTTTTTACTGAAAATGATATTGATATTAAGGAATGAGCGGTATATTCAATAATTATTATATAACCTCCCATCCACTATTTTGTATGTCTCATTAATCGCATAAATACGTTTTGAAAGTTGAAATATTTAAGGGATCATATGAATCCTCTTAACAGTTGTGCTGTCTATTACGACCAAAACGAATGAAACTTGTATTAAAAAGTAATTACTTTAATTTTCATGAATTCACAAATTAAATATAAAATTTAAAGTTGGCACACAAATCTGATACGTTGAAAAATGATAAGTCCAACAGCTCTAACAAGTGAATTCATACGTCAACCTACCATTGACTGCCAGTTAAGAGTTCTAAAATATTAGTGCATCTGCCTTCCCGAAAATTTGAATCACTATTCAATTTGCCTTATGATTGGATTGTTCGGGCTAAGTCAGCAAGACCGTGGATCTCAATTATGTTCTAA